CTAATTGACAATTTCTAAAGGACAGAGCTAGATAAAACTTATTGAAACAAACAAACAAAAAAGGCCTACTTCATTCTCTACATGAACATATTTGCTTTAATTGTAATAAACAAAATGAAATCAGCATCCTGGGAAAGACCATGAAAAACATTATGTGGACAAGCTCATCTATTTACAAAGACAAGAAACGTGCCAGCCTACTGTATGCTACTTCATAAATGTGAAGTGTAAAAATAACTGTAACTTGTTTTTCTTTCTGAAATATCACAAAACCTGAAAATGTTTAGTTGTGTTTGAACTGAACATCTTTGTTGACTGTTGCATTATTGCCTACTATGTAGGTATTTTATAGAATTACATTTTTACACTAAAGTTTGTTACATTAATGCAGTATACCATATTTAAAACAATGAAAAGCAATGCAGCCAGAAATGAAGTGACAGAACACAACGTCAAGTAAAAAACCGTTACCACCCATAACATTAGCTACAAAACTAAAGAGAAACGTGACACTCTGTGACTTAGTGCAAAGCCACTGAAGACAACAGCTAAAAGAGTCCTAGGCAAACGGAGTCCTAGATAATATAAATAAATCATTTTCATCCTTTTGAAGGCTAGCATGCAATTTCTGCATACAATCATGAATTCCTACGAGGAGGCTTGTAGTCCATCTGACAATATCAAGGTGCAGATAGCCCATATGGGTAAGAATTGCCCTCAAGGGCTAAACTTCATAGCATGTCACCAGGCTACCTTGAAATATTGGAACATTTAACATAAAAACAAGTCTTGATATTATAACCAGAATACTGTCTCTCATTCATGAGCGCTGAAAGCCTATGGCCATAACACAGTTCTGTTTAATTGCTTCTGGTCATTGTAATTGAAAGTTGACTCTATTAAGTATTATTGGTCATTACATGGTTGCAAGAAACTGCAGAAAACTAACCTCAGTACATCATTTTAAGAAAAAGATCTAGACCTACTTGCTGCAAAGGTATTTTCAACTTGCTTTAATTCTTTGTGCAGAATAGATTTTCCTATCTATGAAAAACAGCTAATACAGAATTACACAGAATAGCCAGAATTGGAAGGGACCTCAAGGATCATGAATCTCCAACCCCTCTGCCACATGCAGAGCCACCAACCTCCCCACTTCATACTAGACCAGGCTGCACAGGGCCCCATCCAACCTGGTCTTGAACACCTCCAGGGACGGGGCACCTCTCTGTGCAGCCTGTGCCAGCACCTCACCACTCTCTGTAAAGAACTTCTCCCTGACATCCAACCTAAATATTCCCTTCTTAATAATAATATCCCTAATAATAATATCCCTAATAATAATAATAATACAATGAACTTCGCTGACAGAAAATATGAAACTGACTCCCAGACAAGCAACAATGGAATGTTAAATAATAACAATAATAAATCAATTCATCCTGGCTTAGGTAAATTCCATGCAAGCCATTTACACCTCCCTTCCCAGCAGTTCCAAGGCATTCTCTAGTACTTATAAAGAGTAGGCATGAAGTATATTGCTGCTTCCTGTGTGCTGAGAATTACTCTTACATGTTTGAGGAAGTCAGAAGACCAGACCTGCCTGTTCAGGGCCTCCTTGCATCACTAACTCATTGAAAAGGAGCTGGAGCACAGCAGAGGACTGGGTCACTCAAAATTCAACTGGAACAACTGCTGAGAAAACATATCCATCTAGTATTTCAAACTGGAAATAATAAACATAAGTGCATACAGAATAATGGCTTGGCTATACTATCCCAAGCAGACTTTGCTGGTGTATTTTCAATTTAGCATGTGCCAACGCCACTTGGTAACGGGAAGATTCAGCTACATATAGCTCTGTCATGACTCTCAACATTTGAGTCCTGCAGTCAAACCTACCAGGAGATAGATGTACTGGATTTAACTGACATTGCTCACAACATATTCTCTTCCCATTCAGCTGCTGTTGAAGAGTCCTACTGCTGCATACATGTAATTCTTCTGTTTTTAGTAGCAATAACTTACATTCCAATTAAATATTTATACAGTACACTTCTAAAGACTTCTTGTAACAACAGTTCAGATATAAGAAATATACAATTATTTTTTCTTTTAACTAGCAGAGGATATTACTACTATACTCCATCTTTATAAAAGTATTTGTTCGAGTCTGTCTTGAGGTATCTTGCCCTGAGGAGAATGACCAGGGGATCCTGATGGACAAAAAGCTGGACATGAGCCAGCAGCTCTTGCCATCCAGAAGGCCAATGGTATCCTGGGCTGCACCAAAAGAAGGGTGGTCAGAGGGAGGGGATTTTGCCCCTATACTCTGCTCTTGAGAGGCCCCATCTGGAGTACTGTGTCCAAATCTGGGGATCCCAGTACAGGAAGGACTTGGAGCTGTTGGACTTGGTCCAGAGGAGGGCCTAAGATGATCAGAGGATTGGAGCACCTCTGCACCTCTCCTATGAAGAGGCATTGAGAGAGCTGGACCTGTTTAGCGTGGAGAAAAAAAAGGCTCCAGGGAGACCTAATTACAGACTTCCAGTATTTAAAAGCAGTTTACAAGCCAGAGGGAGATTGATCTTTTCCACAGCCTGATAATGATAGAACAGAATGGCTTTAAACTATTTAAAAGAGAGGAGATTTAGGTTAGATGTTAGGAAGGAATTCTTTTCTCAGAGGGTGGTGAGGTACTGGAACAGCTTGCCCAGAGAAGTTGTGGATTCCCTATCCCTGGAGGTATTTTGAGGCCAGGCTGGATGGAATCCTGGACAGCTTGATCTAGTGATTGGCAACCTTGCCTGTGGCAGGGGGTTGGAACTAGATCATCTTTAAGGTCCCCTCCAACATAAGCAATTCTATAATTCTCTCCCCTTTCTGTTTCCTCAAATTTAGTGCCTTCAAAAAAAGATTTTCAGAATTAAGCTTCTAAGAAAAAACATCATGAGGAAAATACTCAGGATTTCTCATGAAGCAGCATTTTAAGGATCAGTATATAAAGCTACACAGTGAAGTGGCTGAAATTTAACATAAACACTCCACTAGAAGTAAGATCAAGTTTTACAATCATGAAAATAAGGGTTTTCACCTATTTTTAAAATTATTTTAGGACCTCTGTAAGAACACTAGAGTTCTCCTTTGTACTCAAAGAAGTGATCAACAAAGATGAATTAATAAATGAACAGTGTAGACAGTCAGAGTTCTAAAATAAAACTGTACCTGAATGTATTCTCTCACAGCTCATTAATTCAAACATAGCCCGTTGTTACTGCAACAGTTCATTTTTAATGCTGAAATTACTATCTACTTCATGATACGTCCTGTGGTTGTTAGCAGTACTAAAATATTTATTGAGAAGCAGTGAAACCACACACAAAATGGTTTTATGTATTTGAAGTTTCCTTGAAAATTCTTTTAAATGTCTTATGACAACCCTCCTCTTCTTTGTTGTTCAGTTTTCAAGGCCAAAGAATTTACAAACATAAAGCATGTACAAGACTGCATGAATGCACTTGCAGGCACAAATTTTTAGTATAGTTCTTAAGTAGTAAAAAAGCTACTATTACTGAAGCTTTATTCCATTTTTGTTTCATCAAAAGAACAGCGCTTTTCTAACATCACAAAAATTGTTATATCCTCATTCCATTCTATGTAGTAACCACCTAAATTCAATGCTACTTCATCTATCTCAAATCAATGTTGTTGAGGTGAATACAGTACAGCTGAGTGCAAATTCGATATCTTGACGTTCAGAGATACCAGACTACAGAAATTTAAAAAGGAGCCTTTGCAGAATACACAAATTTGCAATATGTGGAAATTTTAGTTCCACAAAAAAGTACAAAATCCAACTCCACTTGAAACACTCTATCACCACCAGAGGTCCCATTAAAAATAAATACAATTAATGCCCTCCAGTGACGGAATAAGCAAAGTAATGTCAGATGTGAAACAAATCCTGAAGTTTTCATACCTTAGACACAACTAAATTTTCCCACATCTTTGGTATACATAACAGAATTGTTAAGAAACATTTGGTGATACTTCATACCTAATAATGGTACTAAATGATAAAATTAATGGAAGGCAAGACTCAATAATGACATCCAACTCTCGGTTCCACACAGGACTACCAAAAATTTTAAAACATGGAAGTTTTGTGCATGCTTATAGGTGTTTCTTTGTTTGTTTGTTTTAACTGTAAAGAAAAGTGCACATTCTAAGATTGAGTTTAGTGGATGTTTTGTAATTAAAAAAAAAAAAAAAAAAATTACACCTACTATGCTCAAATCCCCTCATGCATATAGATGTCCTTAAAATAAGTGTAGAACTTGTCCATACAAAACAGGGCAAAATATTTTAAGAACACAGTGGTCTCAACATACTGTGCTATAAGATCTGCTCCTCATCTGGATAAGGTTCAGTCCTTTCAATACAGCCAAATGTTTATTCCCTATCTATCCCAACATAAACATCTCTCACTCAGAAGCTAATGCTCTTTTCATTTACCATCATTGCCTGGTGTAGAATATACCTTGGAGTTTCAGAATACCAACAAGCAAAAGGATAAAGAATCATGCATCTTATTCCTATTTCTTCCTTCATCAGACAACATCACTGAATTCCAAATTGATAGATTTAAAAATGATAAGCTTTATTTATATACACACTCATATGTTATCTTCAGGAAAGAATGAATATCCACAACAGAAACAAATAAAAGCAAAAAATGTCACAGAAAAGTTCACTTTAAGCTTTGCTTTTATTACATCCAACACAACCTAAGGCCTATCAACTATTCATACTCCTGTGTTCATTTAGTCGTCACCTCATAAAGTGGTGATATCAACAGCTTTTTATGATTACTTAATATCTGCTGCAGTTCTCTAACAAGACAGATTTCAGTCATTATAAAAGTCACTGAAGCATGAGAATACTTGACCTAAGGCTGTTTACAAACAAACAAAATGATAAAGTTAGAAGTAAATACTCACCAGATTCTCTTCAAACCACTCCCGTATACATATTGCTGTGGCCCCTGGAATTTGATTTCGCAGTGCTTCTTTCTCTTGAGGATCCTCTAACATTTCCAAAGCCATCTTTAGATCTTCCAGGAGATGCAAAATTTGAAATGTGCCCAAATATACTGATGGAGCAGGTGACACAATATCATAAGCACAATTAGCATACTCTGCAGCTGACTTTGTACCTAAAAGAAGCGAAAACAGGAAAGTCTTATTTCAAGTGACAAATACTTAGCTACTACACACTGCTATATTTGGACTTCAAATATTGACAAGTTTCAATACTTCCAGTAAGACTTAGAAATAAAGCAGATATTAGTTAAATAATGAACACTTTAGAATTAAACATCAGAGCAATGATGTATTATATATGTATTATATGAAGCATATTTCAACCTAGACAACATTTACAATGTCTCTTAAATTACAGACTCCAAACTTTACCACAAATCACCTGTAATTTTCCATGGTTACCATGAGATGTCACTAACTTCTCAGCTACACAGAAGTCTCCACACAGAGCAGTGTTTCTCAAGCAAAACAAGCAAGATTCACTCAGCCCTTTGACAAGAAACTTAAATGAAAATAACCTGTATTACCAGAAATGGAAAAATATGTAACCTCAAACAGGTTTAAAGCACTTTTCACTGAGAACAAACTACCCAAAGTTCTGAGAACTTTGTGAGCTCTCCAAATTATAGAAAACTCTAAAACCCAGCCACTCGCTGACATCCTTTCAGCATCAAACATCTTTCCTCAGAAACATATCTCATGAAATGAAGAATTAGAAATTATAACATCTTTGAATCTTTTGTTTTAATACCCTGTTTAGCGAGCTATCTTTTTTTCAGTTCTGAGTTTCATTTGACACCGTTTGGTTTACTTAACAAATACTCAGATGGAAAACTTGTAAAACTTGTAAAGCTTGTATTGGCTTTACTTTTTATAGTTTATTTTATTATATATATAGTTCATTGCTCCATGTACATAACAGATTGCACTCATGTATGAATTCATTCCTGTTCTCTGGCATAAACAATCCCATGTTTTCTCTTATTTGACTTCATGGGAGATACTTACAAAATAAAAGGATTGAGAGGAGGACAGTAACATTTTACATATGTATGCTGTACTGCATCATTGATCCATACAAGGTGATCAAAATCATTTCCACAGATTTTTCCACTCACTCCTCTTTTTAACATCACTTTCACCTTATACTTTAGTTGCAAGAGGAAGAGAAGTCTTCATCAAGTTTTGAAAATTACTGGCTAAGATTTTTTTCCCTGAGCAGCTGTATTTCATTTGAAACACAGACGTATGACTAATCCAAGTTTCCCTCATCTGTGCACACTACTTTGCATTAATCAATGTTCTTTTGTCTGTTACAGTTGTTTATCAGCTCTGATTTGAACATTACATGTTGTTTGAACCCAGTGAATCTAATGGTATTTTACATATAGCACTATATACATATAATTTAGTAAATATAGCTCACAAATGCATTAACATTATGTCCTAGTACACTTGAATATCTTCTGCACCTAGATGGGCTTTTTGCCAGAACACTAATTGATCATTTGATCCTAACACTGTTTTCCCATCTCAGTGAGTCATCGATCCAAGAAAGCATTTCGTCTCTCATTTTGTGAATGCTAAACTTCACAATAATCTTAAGGGAAATCTAAATAATATTAACCAGATGTTCTTCAACCACTGCTTTGATGACTGTGATCTACCAGATCACTTACCTGTGCAGATGACTGCGTCGTTTTAATTCTACTGTTCTATTTATGTGTTGTTTGAATCAAAACAGTGCAAAGGCATCCTTGAACATTTCTAAGATTTAGCAACACTCAGTAGTATTGGCTGTCAGATGGGTTGTTTTGTTTGTTTGTTTTAAAGCAACACATTTATCTTCATTGCCTGACTATTTAATATAATTCTAAGCTCTTTTCAAACATTTAGTCCTATTTACTTGTATTACATATAGGTTTATTTTGATATGTCAAGTGTAAGAACTCATCTTATTTTCTGTCTAAGACTGCAGCCAAGATAGTATTTCTCTTCAATATCCAGTTCTAAGACTGCTAAAGACAACAATTTTACCTCCTAAATCAATTTGTCTTCCAGATTTTTTTTCCTTTTAAGAGAATCATCTGTTTTACTGAATTTGATTATTCTAACCAATAAAATATATATTCTTGTTTATTTACATCCTCCTCAATACCTATGCAAGCTGTTTATTTACTTCCTAATGCAGTTTAATCTAGCACAGTATGAACTAAAAACAGAAGTTTGCAAATTGTGTACAACAGGAACTTACTTCACATAACATCTTAAACCTTTTCATTTGGCCAGAGAGGTCAATTCTTACTTTCCTAAAGAGATACACACAAGCTGAAATCAGAAATAGCGTTGCCAGCAGAAGTGAAGTGATTGTGCCTCAGTACTCAACCTGGTGAGGACAAACTTTCAATGCTGCATTCAGTTTTAGGCCACTCGCTACAAGAAAGAATTTGAGGTCCTGGAGCATGTGGGGCAATGAAGGGCAATGAAGCTGTGAGAGGTCTGGAGGGTGAGTGCTATGAGAAGCAGCTGAGGGAGCAGGGATTTTTTAAGTCCGGAGAAGAGGAGGCTCAGGGAAGACCTTACAGCTCTCTACAAGTACCTGAAAGGAAGCTGTGGTGAGGTGGGGTTCAGTCTCTTCTCCCATGTAGCTAGCAGTAGGACTAGATCTGCAGACAATGCTTCAAGATAAATACAGATTTAAAGCAAATGTCCTGGGTTTAAATTGATTATGTTAGCAGCTCAGACAGTTTACACAGGCAATGTAAAGCCAAACTGTACAAACCACTGTAACTTGCTCGTGGACAGTACTGGTAACATCTTCTCTTACCCAACTAAACACCTCACTGCTTATCACATCTTGCTTCCATTCTTCGATTACAATGGTGACATGACACACAATTACTATCATATCCACCTTCTTCAAAAAACTATTTAAAATTCTGTAGGAAAGTTGTGATAGTTCAATTCAGTATTTCACTTGTGAAAGCTTCCTATTTTACTGCTTAGTTTCAAGTGGATCATAGGCTTGCTTCTCTTACTTGCTTTCCATATAGTTTGATATTAAATAGATTACATACAGTTCGACCAAAGGACAAGAACACATCCTGAAAAATTATGTGCGTAGGAGTAAGTATATCAATTTGCATTAGTTTAAATCTTCACATCATCACACTGCAAAATACATTAAACTTTATCTCCAGACAGTAAGAAACTGGATCTCTTTGCTGACTGAAAAAAAAAAAAAAAGAAAAAAAAAAAAAAGGAAAAAAAAAAAGGAACACCCCAGTGCAAACAAACTTCTAGATGTTACCAGTCAACTCTACCCTTAACAGCAATTAGTATGCATCTGACTTCAGTATAGGCAACTGATGGAGGGAAGAATATGGTTCAGTCACTAGAATTTCATTGATAGTCAAGAGAAATGAGTGTAGTTCTGAACTAAAAAAAAAAAAGCAGCAACCTCACTGTATGATTTTCAGCAAGTCAGAGTGTTCCTGTATCTTTTTTTTTTTTTTTCCCCCCCAAGGCCAAAAAAGGACACAGGGGAATCTTTTGTCATTATATTTATATGAAGTTCAACATGATGGTATTCTAGGGCAGCACAATTAATCATGATGAATGTATACCTTAAAGAGGGAAAATAATAAAGGAGGAAAAAAAAAGTAGTGGATAAAGACAAGCTGCTCAATTCTCACTTTCACATACAGCCAGTGGATGAAGAGGTTAAAGTGTACTACTTTCTAGAAAGAATAAGAAAACTATTAAAAGAAAAAAAACAACTTCAAGTTACATGTTTGGGTTACACATTGACCATGGAAGCACACTGTGTGTTCAGAGTTCCTTTCAGTTAGCTGAATGGTTTCAAAGAAAAGTCCCTTTTGGGCAAATACATAACCTATTCAGAGAACAACACTGTTTGCAGCATGTGAAAATAAATTACTAAACAGTACTATTGTATTATTATTTACTACTGTAAACAGTACAATAAAAATCAGAAAACCTTGCCAGTTTGAAAATCCACTCTCCTCAGCTTCTATTATAGACATTCATCTGTCATTCATTTATTATCACTTTTAGCAGTAAAAACTGTTTCTCATCTCTCATTCTCCCTTGCCCCTTTACTTCTTCTCCACTGCATTCATCAGTATGATCTGTTCTCTCTAGTATATGTATCTATTCTCTCAGTATAAATCTATTCTCTCTAAAACTGCCTGAATATGGTAATATTAAGCTCAACAATTAGTGGTTTACAAAGAGATTTTTCCTGAAACTGCTGATTTTTTTAGTCCAGAAAACAGTTAAAGAAAACATTAAAAAAAAGTTACCTCAAAAAATCCAAACCAAACAAACTGACCTTCAACAACAGACACCCCTCTATTCCCAAAATAAAACCAACAGAACCCAAAAGCTAATTCTAAAGTGGGGTACAGATTGCTTCCTATAAACCTGAAATACACAAATAATTGAGTTTTATCATTTATTCTAATCACCTTTGGACAAAGTTATAAACATTTACTCTGGCTTTTTAGTCAATCATTGTTGCACTGCTACAATATATATATATTTTTTTACCTGAGTTTTTACTCAATGAGTATATAGGTTGTCCAAGTTCTTCCTCTCTCCTTCAACTCTGCAAAGTATAATTCCCTTTTGAAGCATGGGTCTCTTTTTCTCACGAAGCCCTGAAAACTTGAATTTATGTAAACTAGCAGTAAAGTTTTGACGAGACAAAATTCAGACTTCTCACTCCTAAGTCTTCTCTCAAAGGAGTGGAGAGGTAACTCACACAATCCTTTCTTTTAATACAATAATGCAAAATACATCACAAATGTTGTATTTTGAATCATAGCTTGCATTAGCTGATCCTTAAATGTCTGCTTTTAGATCTTTAACTACAGTGAACAGCAACAGTTAAACTGGATTAGCAGGAAGCCCTAGAATAGTTTCCAAAGCTAGAAGTGTAGATTATGGCTATAGGTCATAATCAGATGCAAGTTTCATGTAGCTTGGATGATTTTCAGCTGAGCTTTATTTACAACCACTTGTGGAATACTTTAGACAATTTTCAAGAGCGTTCTATAATTTCATATGCAAATCATCTGCTCAACCCTTT